TCAAAATGATACAATTTACAACGCGCTAAAAAAGATCTATCTCATAAGGACACTTATGAAAGCCGATGCGGCTTTTAACTAATTTTATAATATTTTAACAACTTAAATGTAAAATCTATTATAATTAATGAAATAACAAATAATTGTATTAAAAATTCATTTTTCATCGAAAAGATTTTTTGCTTTCAGAAAATATTGTCCATATTCATAAAAACAACTAAAAGCAAATAAAAGCATTTGAAATTAAATAATATCTTTGTTTTATTGAGTTTTGTATGTTACAATTCAGAACTGATTTTCAGGTACTGCGTATCCAATTAAAAACAAAAAAAAAACATGATTTGCATTCCTCAAAGCCCTGCGCTTTTAATTATTGTAATCACTAAAACCGATGCGATCAATTTCTAGCGTTTTCATAAAATTAGTTATGGGGGGTAATAAATATTTTTTAAAAATATTTTTACCATGACTTTCATAAAAAAAAAATATTTATAATAATTTCGATCATCTGTGAATAGTTCCTGAAAGTTTCATTAACATCCGATAATTATTTCTATTTTTGCACGATTTTTCAAATTAATGTGTGTCATACCAAAAAACGTGCTAAAAATTGTCTATGTTATTTACTAGTTCCGCTGATACAAATAGAAAAAAGTTTTTTTTTAATCAAAATTTAGAATGTTCTAAAAAGAAGGAAATTTTTTTCAAAATAATTAAAAAAAAAAAACTTTGGTCTTTCCTCTTAATAATAACATAAGCATTTAGACAATAAAATTTTGTTTTCGGCAAGGTTGGCGTCTTTTCATCAAGCTATGCTCTCTTTTTAGCGATTTAGTGGAGGTACCTATTTTTAAAGAGTTCAATGTGTATTTGGAAAAGGATTATGGATATGGAAAAAATGATAACTCCTCAAATCGCCCACTAGGCTCGTAAACACGTTATAGCTAATATCTATCTAGGAATTTATTGATTTGAAAATTTAAATTAGAACAGGCATTAAATTTTAACCAATTCCAGGGTTTACTGAAATCTATCATATTACAAAGTGAAATGTTTCGATGCTAAAAACTGTAGTTTGCTAATAGCAGGGTATAAAGATATTTTTAATGCGAGGTGTCTCTAAGGTGTTTTTTGTAGTAGTCTGAACTACGAATAGTTGGCGTGTAGTCACTCCAATATGTATTGGGTTAACCCTAAGAGATACCAGACAGGTTTTCTATTTGGTGTCACCTCAGAAAGTAAAGATCGAGAGTTGATCTAAAAAGTAATCACAAATCCACCAAGTACAGAATCGAGCCTCGAAGAATATCGGCGAGTGTACCAATATAAAATATGGAAGTGAACACAGGTGAAATTAGGATACACATACAACTGGTTAACAAGAAGTTCTTCATATTTGCAACAAGATCGAACATTCAAAGAAAAACCCGAAGCCACATAATGTACATTCATCTGACGTTAGTTTTGACAAAATTCAGAATAAAATATTTATTTTACTTAAACATTTAGTGTTGTGTTCTTATCGAACGTTGGTATCATCAAATTATATTTGCATGCTCTAATATATGGCACTTTGCTGCAATAATTTGTTCTACACCATCAAAACCTGAGTCAACTGAGAAAGGGATCTAAATTCTTAGACACCAATAATCAACTTATACACACAATCCAATTATAAACAAGCATATAAAAGTAAGAACTAACTTTATTTAGCTTAAAAAATACTGAAAAATATTTTTAAAAACAAGGTTTACAATATATTATTTATTGCTTCTGATTGGATCGATGCTAGAAAACGTTTTCGTTGTATACGGCAAGGAAAAATATGTTTTAATTTCCCAGATAAGAACATTAAATATACGTCCAACTTTCAAAGAAGTAAATTCTTTGAAATTTGGAATATTTTTCAGTACATTTCAGTTTACAAAGATAGGGAATTTGCACACAAAGCTATATTTGGATGTCCTTTATTCTTTTCGCTGTGTTTTATTTGAAATCAATTTGGGCATATCGCAGAAAATCTAAGATATTTAATGACGTTTCACAATCGAGATACAAGAAGTAAAAAGCTACAAGTTCATTTTGTACAGATTGGCAACGTTCGGATAAAGCATAAGAAAAAAACATCTGATTTATATTACATTTTAGAAACTAGTTTTCTAGTTAAAATAGTTACGTATGTAAATTATGTGTCGGTTATTAAGTTACATATGTAGTTAGCGAAACAGCTTTTTATGCTACACTATACATGAATTTTAGACGTCAGTTTTCAGAATAAAATTAAAATAACTCTTTGTTAAGGAAACTTCTACCTATAATTTGATAAAACTTACAACATTTATATTTTATACTAATAATGCTTGCATAATCTATATGGATAGAATCGACTTCAAATTTATCGAAACATTTTATCATTTGATTTTTATTATAAGACTTCGCCGTACTATTGGTTAAATTTCTGTACATAGGTAGAATTTATGTGTCATATATATATATATATATATATAACGGATTCTAAAATGTTCCAAAAGCCGCCAAAATTTTTGTTCGGTTAGTTGTTCAGGTATTGCGAAGTAAGATTTCAGTATCTCCTCGCATATATATTAAAGTTAAACCAACAGATAACTTACTAAAAAAAACTAACACCATAATCAAGAGAAAATCTTAAATAAGGGAAGAAAAAAAGAAAAAAAACTTAAGGTAAACACCTACGTACTCCAAGCCTAGATTATCTAGACAGCAAAAAAAAACCTCCACAGCGTTTAACCCCTACCAAAGGGCAGACCGAGCCGTTCCTCTAGTTTCAGGCGACTGCAACGCAAATGAAAGTAGGGAGGGGAACGATCTTTACATAACCCATGACTGTAACACACATACTTTAAAGCATTATGAAACAAAAATAAAACAAAATAATTTTATTTAAAAAGCCCGTAGATAAACTTGCTCTCCCGTGGGGACAGAAGAAAACACTTTAGCTAAAATTATAGCGTTATTGAACAGATTAAATGAACAGGTAAATGAGTAACATTTCTTGATATCGAATTGCAGAAATCTAAAGTTTTATTTTTTATATTATCTAATCAATCAATGGCCGCTTTTGTACTTTGCCACTAGTTAACACCGAATATGCTTTTGAGTTCTTACACAACCTTTCTGAGATTACCTTACTAATCATCCCTGGTTACTTTTCTCTTTTTTTTTTTTTTTTTTTTAATTTTGGCGGGGGTGGTTAATTAGCATACACTTGGGTTATTCCTTGTTTTTTCTCTACGATAATGTTGTCAATTTTAAACTTTGTTGCGATTTTTGCCACTTCATTATTAATATATTCTTCCCAATCCGAGAGTGCTTTCTTATATTTATCAGGTATGTCACTGGAGGTAGTTATTAATGGTCAGACCTCTGGAGCCCTAGCGGTCAACGCAGGCATTATTTAGGGTTCACTGCTCAAACCAACCCTCTTTTTGATTTAAATAAATTATCTTCCTAAGAATATACTCAGATCATTTGTAAACATCTATGCCGATGTATATACAAGCACACCTCTGACACTCTCGATGGTCAGAGACTAGCAATTTTCTTCCAGTCTAGAACAAATTACAGTCCTTGAAACGTGTCTGCTACTCAAAAACCTCTGTGATATGTAAATACCTTACACAAGCCTGATAAAGCATTTCAAGGTCTCAGTAGTAGATTTGTTGAGCTTTTAATACTTTCAAATAACAGGTAAATTCTAAAGTTGTTAATGCACATTGTTCGAATGTTTGAACTATCGTAAAAATTACAGAACCGTTCCGACACAATGTAAGAAAACGAATAATAATTAAACATAATTCATTTGACTGAAGCCTTAAACCTAATGTAATTTCAGACCCTGGCATTGGAATTCATGTAGTCTGGTTCAGTAAAACAAACCATGGAGGGATTAAAAAAGAAGAACAGAAACTGAAAACGGGAAGACTGTATTGCACTTTGAAAATCCGCATTTAAAATTCTGTCTTTTATTTGGGTTTGAAAACTGATCACTAGCGCTAATCGGAAATATCACCGTCACGAAAAAACGTCAAATTCTTTTTTTCCATTTATCAAATGTTGAATTAATTTTTGTGAGATCTTCATAGATATACATTTGTATTGAAGAATTGAAACCAACAAAGTAAATTTCACTCTGTCTTTATTCGCATTTATAGAAAAAATAACTTCTCTAGAAGAAATACATTTTCTTTTAACGATGTAGCACTGGACAGTTCACAGAATAAGATCTCCTGACAGACTCCATAAGTGATTCCAGTCAAGTAAGAAAGCTGATGAATTGTCTGTCGACGGCAATCCTCGGGAACGAATTCATATTTTACACATTCTCCTGAACGCTGATCCTCTTGAAGTGATGGTCCTTGAAACGTGTCTGCTACTCAAAAACCTTTGTGATATGTAAATGCCTAACAGAAACCTGATAAAGCATTTCGAGGTCTCAGTAGTAGATTTGTTGAGCTTTTTATGCTTTCAAATAACAGGTAAATTCTAAACTTGTTAATCCACATTGCTCGAATTTTTCAACTATCGTAAAAATTACAGAACCCTTCCGACACAACGTTACAAAACCAATTGTATTAATTAAACATAATTGATTCGACTGATTTGTGTTTTACGAATTATCAACTTTTTGCAGTTTATTTAAAGCCAAGAAATATTTCTAGATTGTAAGAATTGTTTTAAAGATAATGATTTTTACTAATCTAGTTCCTCCTAATTAACCCATAGTTGGGGGGAAGAAGAGATGGGTTCATACCTTTCTCAATGGTATTTTTGCATAAGTCAGCGTAACGAACACGATTGGAATTGGTACTCGGCTCTCAGTTTCAAACTGTTATCCAATACACCCCCCTCACAATCAGCATCTGGTATTTCCAACCGGTTACCCATTTATGTATTAACCAGGCTCGACGTTGCTTAACTTCGGTGATCATACGAGAACCGGTATTTCAGCGTAATATGGCCGTTAACCAATTGAAAGACTATTAGCAGACTGACTCAGTACCATTGAGCTTTATGGATTGTACAATCACAGCAAGTACAGTGTAAGAATTTCTGATATCATACCAAATCTTAAACCTTTTGTTTATTTTCTTTCATTTACAAGATGTAAATGAATTTTTAATATATGAATTCTAATGGTGGGCACCAACTGATCCAAAACTATCATTTTTTGGTCCAAGAAATGACAAGAGCTTTGGCATTTTCAATGGCTGCTAAAAAAAACTGGAAGAATTTTTTTAATATATTCATTTTTTCAAAATTCTAAAACTTCTTAAATCTTCAGTCTACAGTTCGATTTGTAATGTAAACATAATGCTACGATGAATCATTACTTAGAGTCCGTCTCATTAGATTAATTCAAAGTATATATATATATATATAACTAAATATTTCCTAGCCAGAAACTTGCAATAAATCAGAATTGTATGCTTATTCGTTGGGCTAGACGAAGTGCTTACTCGTCCTGAATTTATAAAGTCAAAGAAACTCATTATTATAGTGTTCTTTTAAATTATATATATTTCTCTCAGAGTTAACCTATAGAAAAAGGCACTATGTATAGAGGAAAAAAGACAATAAGAAAACTATTATTAGCCAACGCGTTTCGCATTTCGTTCAATGTGGACTTTTTCAACAGAAAAAGTAATAATAAATGTAATATTCATTTCGTTTTTGCCTTGAAAATGTCCACATTGGACGAAACGAAACGCGTCGGCTAATAATACAGCTTTCCAATTGTCTTCTACCTTTTGAGATATTTATATAGAAACCCATTCTCGTATAGATCTCTATTGACCCTAACTATTACTCTATTGAAATTTAATTAGTTTACGAATTTTATCAAATTTTCCATCTACTTGCTTCATCGCTTAGCGAGCTTCTTTCGCGTTTGCAGCAAGCGTTTTCCGACATTTTCCCACGTTTTAAATACAGTGACATTAAATTGTATTAAATCATAATTAATACGCTTTTTACACTGCATTATTTATAAATGTGTGAATATACATTTTTATTGTCCTATTCTCTATAGGAAATTTTTTTTTTTTTAATTTATTATAGATAGCGGTTGACCGACAGTTTGACAAAATGACGTCTGACATGAGTGTGTACGGAGCAGAGGCATGCTACAAAACTGATATTAATCAACACTGACTGTTTACGGATTCCAAATAATTAGGCGGTGGGTAGTGCGTTTTAGCAATGGTAACAACGTATTTTTGGGGGAGGGTTACGAGATCTGCCTACAGCCTCTTGTTCATCGCAGGCAAAAATACATAAACAATGGAGATAACATTATCGAAAAGAAAACATTGATAAGTAGGTGGAAAGTAGATCTATTCAATGGTGTTACTGTGTTTCCTGTATTTGGTGCAGTTTCCGTGGAAAATCAACAGTAGACATTACATACAGAAATAAAAAAATGTCTAACATCAAAACTGGATACTGGGCAAATGTTTAAATGCTCACTTTTTCTCTCGCCCCAAATGGACATTTTTTTTCTCGTTTAGTTGCTGTCCGTAATAATACTGATAATTAGTTTGAGAACAGGCAATGGCTTCTTCCTTCAACGTTTCAAGAACCATCAAAAGAATGGTGAATAAGTTTAAAGAGGGAACGGTAGAGAGGTAATCTGGATCGAGGGATCATCATTTCAACTTAGAGCTAAACAGATCAGTTAGAAAAGATCCAACTCAATCTATAAGACGTTTAGCGAGGAGAGAGGAGTTTCATCTATGACAGTCCAAAAAGCAGATTTGAAAATGAAATCGTACGTGAAACCTGTGAGAAACCTTGTTACTCTAGGACAGAAAGTTAGAAGTTTAGATAGGACGAATATCATCTGGAATAAGTTGGAAAATGTTCCTGGAATAGTATATATTTAAACTTTATTTCAATACTTCATGAGATTCCAATTCTTAGCTATGATTGATCATCACGATTCTTCTGTTAACCTTAGAGAGTAATTATATATTAATATTTTCTCAAAGTAGATTCTAATAGTGTTATAAAAAGCTCGGAGAATTCCAGTAAGATATCTTTAATCATTTCTAAGATACAATGGTTCAGAGCATAATCTAACAATTGGACAATTTTTCTGATATACCCGGTGTACGAATTAGTCCTTCATATAATCATTACATTTTGTTCATATTTGTTATTTTAGATTATTTTTTTCACTAGTCCTTCCGAATTTTTTAAAACTTTTTAAGTATTTTCTGTTGTGTATGTTTATGTAACTGTTTTTGGTTAATTACGGCATTATCACAGAACTTCTTTTCGGTATTATTCTACCAAACATGTTTGAAAAAAATACTGCTGCTGAAATGTACCTCATAATCTCTCCCTTGTGTGTGTGTATGTATGTATGTGTGTGAGTGTAATATATATATATATATATATATATATATATATATATATATATATATATATATAAAAAAGAAAAGAGAAGCAGCAAACGTTTTTGGTTATAATGTGGATTTTTTAAATATATATTATACTTTATTTTACATATGTTTTTATTACATGTGTTTCGGGTCTTGTGAACTTCATCAGGCGAAGAGTGGGTATTTCCACATGTTATTTAAAGGAATTGAATTTTTCTTATTTTTCCGATGTTTAGCCCTTTTTTTGTGCGTAGCAGTAATCCAAATTTTCTTAAGGGGTAATAAAACAATTATGATTGCTTAGAGAAAGGGTGAAAGAAAGAGATCTTTGTTCTTATCTTTTTAAGGCCTCTTTTTTTAAAACCCATCTCCATTTTGTATATGAATATGTTATGATTTGCTAACAGCTGGTTTAAATTATTCTTACCTCCAAAAGAAAAAAAAAACTTCATAGACAAATTTAAACCAGCATTAAACATATGATAACCTCCCACATATGAACACACTATTTCGTCTTGATGTTACGTATGTGAATCATAAATGTCCTTTTTTGTTTCTATTTTCTATAAAACTTCGTAGTTGCTCATACGTTCAGTCCATGGTATCCTAAGCAGCCTTCTGCCGAATCACATTTATGTTGCTTCAAGTCTCTTCTTCAGCTTTGAGAAGTTTGCCCAGCATTCACTGCCATACAGGCGGACAGAACGTAACAGTTTAGAACACTTTACCTTTTTTTTCTATTTCTCAGTACTCTGTTTAGCTTTTGGAATACATTTTTGGTCATACCAATACACCTTCGAAAAGCCACCACTCTTAAAATGCTTAGACCAGTTTGGGGCAGATATATATTCCTTAGAGTAGCCTTGCATAAACCTGTAATGGCTTTAAGTCCCTAATTAGAATGATACCCCCCAAATCGGCACACACACACACATATATATATATACACACACACAAACATATATATATATATATATATATATATATATATATATATATATATATATATATTAAATATGATTCCATCGCGACACAGAAATTACTATATTTCGAAACTGTCTGAAGTCCTAAAGTTTAATTTCAATATTAAGCTCTACTTCTTTATTGCGTACTGTTTTTTAGAAATAAATCATAAATACTAAATCACTCAGCAATCTAACTGTTCTTTCCTATTACATCAATACAAACACACCCATATATATATATATATATATATATATATATATATGTGTGTGTGTGTCTCCGTTTAGAGCAACTCTGTGTCTCATGCATGTGTCAATCGTCAGGTACAACATTACCATGGATATGAAACTCAAAATAGTGAAGAAACGTACATTTATTAATAATATAAATTTTAGCTCTGTTATTTTCCATCGAACACTTTTTATTACTACCAGTAACTACAGTGCGAAATATATATATATGTGTGTGTGTATGTATAGTCGTGTCATAGTCGAGAGATTGATTAATTTGTTTTTTACGACTTGTCAACCCTTTTTTTTTTTTTTTTTTTTTTTTTGAGTCATTTGAAGCTGAAGCATATATTTTGGATTGTAAGTATAATTCACCTTGTTTGCATTAACAATTTTTTTTAGAGATGGCACTGATAGTTTCAGATACAAATCCTACTATTTAGCCAATAGCTAGGGGTGAAAAGATGGATTCTTACTTTTTACATGGGTATTTGTGCGTAAGTGGATAAAATGAACGCAACTAAAATTCGAACTCGGCTTCTCATGCTGAGCCGATAACTATTGAACCCACCCGAACATACGCAGTGCCATAGAAACTCTTTAAATATCTACATGAAATATGATTAAAAATCCGTAAAATATTATAAGTGAGTTGTAAATAATAATAGCAATAATAATAAGAAGGAGGAGATTTAATGTTGTTTAATCCATAGATACCTATACGGTGACGGTCGATACCAGATTTTATTTTAAAATTTAGAGGAACTTTAGTAAGAAAATAGCATCTTCAGATTAAAAAAAATGTGTAAAAAAAACAAAATGAAGTTCCTTATTCTCTGCTCGAAGGATTTTGAAATGTACAGCGTGACACTGGAAGACGCTAAGTAACTTGAAAGATTAATCACTACTCATATTCCCTGAACCTTTTGATCAACATCCTTTATTATTAGGAAGAAGCTATTTTGCCGGTCCCAGTAAAAGAGACAAAGATACTTTTAAGTTCATTTTACTTAAGTATCGGTGAAGCAAACCTCCGAGATATTTTTATTATTATGAAAGCAGGTAATGTTAAAAATAACAGTACACAAACTTCACGCAAAAGTTTATTTATTTTCACCATCAATTGTTAAGACAATTTAAAATCTTTTCTATCAATTGTTAAAACACAAGTTAAAATTCATTTATTCATCATCCAATATTAAAAGAAATATAGAAGTCTCTAAATTTATTTGCAATTCAGGCATAACTGTTTCTGCAAATCCCAAACTTGCCCTTAAGCATGGTTCACTTGCAAAAGCACTTCAGCTACACGTACTGAAGACAAGAAGTCACATTGTCACAAATGTTGTTCAAGTCCTGCCTACACAGCGACTGCGCTGACGATCT